TCCGCAGATCATATAAACAAATTACTTCTTTTGCTTTTTAATACAAACAGCTCTGAGAGTGTGCTTTCTTCCCGTTCATTTATAGTAAGACTGCTGCACTTGAAAGAAGTTTTAAAAATAATCATTTGTCTCCCACAGAACGGAATAGCACATTAACGGTAATATCTCTGAAGTCCAGGAAAAAAAAAAAAAAAGTACCTATTGCAGGGAGGTATTTTTTGTTTGACAGATTTTAGAATTTCAAATGTTAAAGCTATAGAAACATATAAACTAAACACAAACTCTGATAAACAAAACACAAACAAGATTTCTCAAACTCTTGAGAAACTGTTTGACAGATTTTAGAATTTCAAATGTAAAAGCTATAGAAACATACAAACTAAACACAATCTCTGATAAACAAAACACAAACACGATTTCTCAAACTCTTGAGAAACCTCTCTATGTCAAACCTGTAGAAATACATACTATAGTTTAATCGCTCTAAACACTTTGTTCCTGGCAGTCTTTGTTCCTGGTAGTCTGCTAAACTGACATAGCTGCATGCTGAAATTATAGCTGATGAATTCCATTTCTGTATGTTACCTCCTCCATTTCTTGCATTAAAAACATTAGTGTTGCAGCAGTCTAAAAATAAGTTATAATTTACAAATATAGGGTGGTATTTTTCAAATCAAACAAAATGGATTTAGCTTTGTTCCCACTGACTTCACTGATCAGAGTTAGGCCAATATTAACTACCTTGAAATTTCTAAAGATCAGACTATGACCTATGAGTATTCAATATTCACATTTTGGAAAGTACAAAGAAATAAAGCATACCATACTTAAAAAGATGAGTTTTTTTTGTGGGGGGGGTATTTTTTGAAAGCATATTTGAAAGCATTTATCTTTGCAGATCTGTGAGCATCACGACAGCAGTCAAGCAAACCTTTATTGGTATTAGCTCTCCCAGCCACTGAGTGCCTGCTCTAAAACTGCCGCGTGAGTTTTTATTGCTCCCTTGATGGAATTCAGACGCTGAGGGAGGGCAGGGGGCAGCTCAGTTCAAACCAGGAGCAAAACCACAGACAAGGATAAAATAGACTTAAGGTAAATGGTGAAATGCCGCTCGAAACGTCTCAGTAGTCTTCCCAAAGCTGCCTCCACCTTCCCTCTCCCCTCTGCCATTCACAGAAAGGCTGCCACCCTTCCCTTCCATGCAGGGCCACCTCTTTTTAGTCATTTAGCTTTCTTGATAGCCCAGTTCCTACAATCTTCATTTCCGTGAGGTATTAAAGACAGCTCTGGCCTCCACAAACACTAGCCATCTCTCCCCAGGGCTCTCAGATCCCAATGTGAGCCTCAGGAATTTTTAACATCATGGTGTAGGAGCAGGCGGGCACTGGCTGCCTCTGCGCAACCACTGTACTGCCCTCAACTGTACTCTGGCAGAAGGTGATCAAAAAACAGCACTGATGTCACCAGAGGGGCTCTTGCAAACAGAAACAGGCTCTCCCGACGAAAAGCCTTGTGTCTAAGAGACTGGATGACAGTGATCCATATATGGATGAACTGTGGGGGACTGTATCTTCACACCAGACCCAGAAGGAAAACCTAGCCTTGCTAGAAAGAGCATAGTGAAACAGACTGACATCTGCAGCCCATTAGGCAATTTGACGGGTAGAAGTAGCTGCTGTACTTCGCAGGAGACAAACCCATCAAAAACCTGTCTGCGTCTCTTGTGTGCAGGGCCTGCTTCTCTTTGCCTGCGTTTCGGGCAGCTGCTCTGCGTTTCCTCTCAGTGTAGGCGCCCCCCAGATGCACCCCCGCATTTATATGGAGAAACTGTGCGTACCCAATATGCTAAGGAAGTTACTTTTGTTCAAATAAAGTCTGTTTAGACTCTAAGGTTTCAGCAAAATAAAAGCAGTCCTACGTGGCAGTTGGAGACAGAAGACAGATTCTCTCTCATCTTCAAATCCTACTGCCTACAATTAAAGGAGAAATAGGATTTTGTGATCACACAAACCACGACATTTTTTTTTCTTTTGGTAGGATGACTGTAATTAAGTCAGCAAGAGGAAATTGGGAAACTAAGTGATTAATTATTCTCAGAAGACAAGCAACTTTCACTGGTTTAGAACGAGGGAGAATGCTTCCTCGCTAGCATTTCAATACATGTATTACTAAGTTCTCCACAGTCCTTACCTTAAGGGACAGGACAGCAACCACATTGCTGTAATGAGAACCTAGCAGGTACTTTGATACTAGGAAATATGTTGAACAAGTTTAAAGACAGCCACCAAATGCAGAAAATGTGTTTTGGAGATACTGCCAATCATTATGTTACAAATGATTTAATTTATATTGTCTCAAATAGTTCATTAGAAATGTGAGAAGAAAATATGGTTCCTTTCACTGTTTCTCACTGGTTGGCCAAGGGTGTTTTTCCTCATCCCTCTGCCACCTCTAAGAGTACTGCAATCCCCTTTGCCATCACACAGACTCAGGACTGTGCACGGTCTCAGAAGCAGCATTCACAGCTGCTTCCTGCGCTGCAATCTGCACTAGTCCATGGTACAGCTTCAAATCAGCATGAGATTTATTACTTTTTTATATGTATGACTATCACTGAGCAAAAGATTTAAAGGAAAATGTCAGATACACTGACCACTGTAAAGATTTAAACTGTGATGGAAAGTTTAATATAATTTTTCCTACAGTTTATTAATAATTATATTTTTTCCTACAGTTTATTAATAAGTAAGCTTGAAACAGCTTACTTTGTTTATATCAACAAGACCACATTAACTGGATCATCATCTTAAGTAATTCATCTCACTCCAACTGGTAGCTTGACACAGATTTACCCTTAAGAGAGAAGAGAAAATCTTTTTTTCCTCTCAGCCTTTATACGAGAGGAGATATACGAGAAAGCGTTAGGTTAAGATGTCCTTTGATGTTACATCTCCTAACAGTCAAATCATTCAGATGAATCTCCTGTGAGCCCCTACAGTCTCACTAACTTTCAACAAATTACCAGATGGATATTAAAGGTGAGGTCCAAAAATAAACAAGGACTCTCAAATGCAGAGAAATGACAGTATCTCCAAAATACAGCATTTTTGTAGCTACCATTATTACAGGAATTTAAACTTTGCCGTGACTTCCCACGACAAAGTTTCTCTCCTATCTTTTTTCAGCCACTGTACTTCAAAACCTTTCCCTTTCTCTTTCTTACTGTTAGCTAAACAGTCACATACCCTACACATCGTTTAGAATTTAATCATCTTAATAGACATGATACACCCACCTACTTAACCAGAAACAGAACGTGATTTTCCTTACTGATGAACAAAATATATTACCCTCTTACGTGAATTTCTCTCTCAATCTCTTCCTGAAAACAGCATCAATTCTCACCTTCTAATTCTTAGTTTCAATAGCTAACAAAGAACTTCTTGCAGCCTCATATATCCAGCCACGTTCTCCCATCTCTCCATCTCCATTACAGCAATGAACGCTGACTCAGTTTGCTGCACTATTTATGGACCTGCATCTTCCCCATGCTGGCTCTCCCTGCCTGCCTCTTCCAGCCAGGACAGAGCACCTGGCCTGGGAGAACACAGGGAGGTGTTGGGTAGGTTCACCTCCTTGCTCCTCCAGCAAGACGAACCATGAGTTTTGCAAGTACTTTTCCCTGTTTGTACCTCTTCTCCATTTTCACACCTTAAATAACAAAATTGCCAGAAGGGGGGTCAATTTTTCAAAAATTTGTACTATCCAGCAAAATTACATATTTATTTGAAAAGTGCTTTTCAAATATTAGTTGTAAAGTGCCATCAATTTTAGGTTCCCTATTGTGAAAAAAAATCCAATATTAATGCCATCTATTTTAATATATAATTTTCTATTGTAACAAGACTGAAATGATGATCTTCGCTTCAGAGAGGAAAATGCTCAACACAGATTCTAGTATTGTCCTTTGTTGGCTAACCCACCAAACTTCATTAGCTCTGCATTGCCAAAACAATCTTGGTAACACATGGATTAAAACAATTACTGAATCAGTTTCAAGTAAGGCTGTAAGTACAGCGTGTACTGTAAGTGCTGCTGTCTATAGAGAGAGTCAAAACCAAATTGTTACTTATGAAGTTGATGGTTTCTAATTTTAATAAGAAAGGAATTTGATGCAAGTAGATGAAAAAAATACTAATTTGGGGGCCTTACCATCTTCTTGCTGGTATTACTTACCTTCAGTTATGTACCTAATCTGTCCTAGAGCACCTATATAATCTAATTAATCTAACTAGGAAGGTTGACAGGGACACTAAGAAAGCTGAGGCTTATCCAGTGTGAGGATGACAGAGCCCTGGCACAGGCTGCCCAGAGAGGTTGTGGAGTCTCCTTCTCTGGAGATCTTCAAACCGCACCTGGCGGCCACCCTGTACCACGTGCTCTAGGTGTCCCTGCTGGAGCAGGGGGTTGGACTAGATGATCTCTAGAGGTCCCTTCCAACCTCAGCCAGTCTGTGGTTCTGTGATCCAGCTGCACAGTGTCCTGTGGCCACACATCCCACTACCTCAGCTACCTGGTGCCACCTAACTAACAACACCCAGAGCTGGGGCTCAACATTGCTCTCCTGCTGATACTATTAGCTTGCCCCACGCAGTTATACCATGTTGCAAATTACCAAAACAGAAATCCATAAAAGCAAGCAGCCAATCTTTCTCATATTGGAAGCTGCATACTGAAATCCTCGTGTGACTGAGTTGAAAAAGATTCACAAGACATTGGAGAGCTGGTCAAGGCGAAGGCCCAGAGCTACAGAAGGATCCCAGCGATGGAGCATGAAGACAGCAGGATAATGCTGGGGGGAGTGTGCAACTGGGGGCCCTCTGCTCGCCCCGTCTCTCCCAGCTTGCCAGTAACACAGACTACACACAGCACAGCACGGGCCTCCCACTGACTGCCTCCACGTCACTGGCTGGCCACCAAAGCTTCTTTGGATGACTCACAAGCCACAAGCAACACAAGTGCCACAGACACTTCAAAACCACTAGTTACCACCGTCTTATAGTTCTGCACATGAAAAATACCACATACTTCTGGACTTAAAAACACTAGCTATTATTTGCTTACAGGAGTTAATATTAATTTGTTTCTAAGAGAAATGATCCAGACAAATAATAAACATAGGAGCAATACTGCACTCTCTTTTTCTTCCTCCTCTCTTCCTCCAAAACAAGTAATGAAATATCCATTATTAGGTGATGAGCTGCAAAGCCACATTGCACAGAGCACTATTTCTCTCTTAATCCTTTTGACTCTTGCTTGATTACACATCACACGCAGGCCAGTAGTCACAGAACCGAGCTTTTCAGAAAGCCTACCTCTGTGGTGGTGCCCACGTCAGCAGATGGGCTGCACGTGCTGGTGTCTGGTGGAGCGGTACCAACGCTGCTCCTCACCGGAGAGCTGGGAGCAACAGCTCCCGCCACGGGTTCAGGATAGACAGAAGACTGGTAAAGAATTCCTTTCTTCTGAATTTTTTTCCAAACTTTACTTGCGATCTCTGCCAGTTCATACAGAAGCTGCACCTAAAAGAAATGCATTTTTTAAGATGATTTTTTTTCCATAATAAGACGAAGGAAAATCACCCCAATCAGGGTTCTCCATTCAGACTTAAAATACAGCAGAACTGTGAGTCTCACAGTTTACAATGTTCTGAAAAGTAACTACATTGCAATTAAATTAATTAACAAGTTATGCTCTAGTTATTTTGGTCAGAAATATGTGCTTCTCTAAACATATAGTATGTAGTTCATAAAAATATACCCAATAACCTGGTCTTGTAAAACTTATTACTAACACATTTTAACAATAAAAAAATCTAATTTCTGGTGTATTTCATGTATATGGATACTACCCTTTCAATTAAAATCCTAGAAAAAGGAAAATACATAAAAATAAACATTATAAAATATTAAGAATGTAAAAATTACTCATTTTTAGCAGTAATAAAATAGTGATCTCATGCAGCATATGCAACTGTTCTTAGTAGTAGAAAGAATATCCACTATCAAACTCAATAATCTCCTGGGAAATGTCATAGCAATATTCAGAAAACATACTGTTTAACTTGCACATTGTTTGACTCAGTTCTAAGATATTTACACAAGCTTTTGTAAATAAGCATTAATCATGGAATTTGTATGACAACATATTGCCATATACTGTATAAAACAAGCTCAGGGAAAACTGCAAACAATATATAAGCAGATCCACAGCTGGATACCATACCCAACTTGCCATTATAAAAAATGGAAATTCTCATATTTATAAGAACTTTAAGCCTCAGGACACATCTACTCTCTGAAGCTGGCTTCTTATGTGGGCAGAACAGATGCAGAAAAACACTGTTGTCAATCTACATTTGATATAAAACAGTACTTAATTTTGTGCGTGAGAATGTGTGATGAAGTCTCAAAGAACATGCTACAGTCCTTTCTTAAGAGGTGAAGTGCTGGAATTTTATAAAAACCTTCTTAATTCATCTTGGATTTTGCTTTTGAAGTTCCAAGCTTACATTGAGCAGGTCATATAGTCTTTTGACAGATTTTTTTTTTCTTAAAGAAGATGAATTCAGTATTTTTTGTCCTCACGTGTGGAATCATCTACAGATAAACTTTACTGCTAGTTGGTTCACTTACTTACAGTGAAAACTTATTTTAGTTACACTTTAAAAGGGCTTGTGTCGGTAGCGCGGTGCTAGTCTAAATTATTAATTACAAAACTTTCAGGTTTTCCTGACTTTCTTTCATGTAACTCAGGAAAAGCAATTAATAATATCCATTGGATTGATTGAGTAGGAAAACATTAATTGGTGCTGACACTTTTCTGGCAAAAAAGTCTCTAGAAAATTAACAGGATACAGGCATATATCCAAATCATAGATGCTTGCAACCTCCCTTCCATCAAAATATTTATTGGTCAAGAGACTAAAGGCTAATTTAAACTATGCTTGTCCTTAGGAAGCAAGGATTCCAAAGAATTAACTATGCCAGGGTTCATAAAGGCACAAAGTAACACGAATGAAGAAATGATGCAACTGTTATGTTTACTTGCATGTTTGTACACAAGCTAAAGAAGTTTATCACTTAATAATCCCCCGCTGAAGTATTTGGATCTAAATGACATAACAACAGTCACAGTCATTAAAGCTAATAATTATTTATGTTTTTATTTTAATTCTTCAAGATAGAATCTTTGCAGCCACTCTGAAAGAGTTGCTATTTCAGACTGCAATGTCCATCTCTGAAACACTCCTGCAACCAGATGACCAAATAGTACTAACCCAATAGTCTACCCTTCTCTAAAATTAGACACAAAACAACGAGGAGAAGGCTCACTATGGAAAAGAACACAGCTACCTAGAGGGAGATGATTTTCATGGAGACATGTTAAAGAGCAGAACAAAAAATCCCCCTCAAATATTACAAAATAATAAAAAAAAATCCAGCAAAACCTGCTAAAAATGAAAGCAAGACATTTCATTGCATTTCGATGGCTATTAATTATCAAAATGAAAGGATTTCTATTTATCATTCTGGTTACATTTTTTCAGGTGAGTAGTCTTAATGTTCTCAAGACCCATTCCCGAGTATATCAGAATTGCTAATGCAAGTGAAAGGTCTCTTTTTTTTAGAATTATTTTGAACATAACGGTAAATTTTATTTATTTATTTATTTAATTTCTTATTTTTAGTACCTTCTATTCAAAAGAAAAAAAAGCATACCAAAATATGAATAATACTGCCACAATTTGTTACAAAAAATCTCCCTCTCTCCACACTGCTTCCACCTCCTCCTTAGCAAAATTACACATAGCTCAATAAGATCTCACTGCCCACTTGGCAAGATATGTACTTTACAGTAAAAAATTAAAATCAATACATTACAATATTTTGTACTTAAAAAATAATGTTACCACAAAATTGAGAACAATACGGTAAAAGGTGAAATCCTGACAATTTTGCATACTGGAAGTATTTATTGAACTTACAGGGTAGAACCATCATCGTAACATGAATCATAACAGTTAGACAGTAACATACTTCACCTTTGCTACCACCTAGCAAATTCACTAAGTATCACCTATTTAAAGCTGTCATCTAGAGACAATTTGTCATTCTAAAGAATCAAATTTCATAGTTACTCTGTTGTACACATTACAGCGTACATGAGCATCCTTAAGAGAAAAAAAATGGGCTAATATTTCACTGTACAACAAACAGGACGTGATCGAGAAATATGTGTGTAATGAGTAGTCGTTGTGTAATGAGTATACACAAGGGACAACATTACACTTAAAGCAGCCACCTTAGCTTTTGCAATCTCAGACTTACCCCATAGATCTGTAAATCTTTATAAACACGATGCCTTGTTTATGAGTTATACAACGTCGTATTTTGTGTTCCTATCTTTTCTTTCTATTAAATTATGAAATAAATAGTCTGCTTTGTTGATAAAGTCCTCTGAAGAATCTTACACACAGCAGACAGTATATGAACTCCTTATCCAGATCTAAGGAAATCTGTAACTCCTGAGAACAAGAGTGCTTTTTGCAAAACCACTGTTGATCATATGCTGCAATTGTCACAAAAGTAGTATTTAGGTTACAGTAAACACTACTCAAATTTTTTCAAATAAAATCTACCGTGCAGGACCAAAGCAAACTCGATCCAACTCAGAAAAATACAGCGTGCAGTCTTAAAAAATCTAGCAACCTTCCTGCCTTTTAATAAACATATATGACATGATAACTTCTACTTATGTGCATCCTTCTTTACTTACTAAACTACCATTGTATGCCTGAAAAAAGTTTATATTTGAAGGAATGTTAGCTCTGTGAGAATATTATAAAAATTGCATTAAGCCATTTCAATACATGAATCCACAGTAACAGCAGAACAGTACTATACATTTAACGGTACATCTGCAATTCATTTCATTCCATCAGCCAAAAGATGCATTTATACTGTAGCTATTACATTTTGAGAAGAGTTTAAATTACAAAACTTGAGAGAGCTTCAAAGCAAATCTTAATCTAAGCACCTTGATCTTGATGGCCCAGTTAAAAAAAAATTAAGATGTTTAATAGAAGAGAACCTCTTCAACAAAATGCAGAACAATTGCACTTAAATCAAGTTATTTTTAATTTCCTTTCATAAATCAATTAAATGTACCAACCTGGGGGTTCGAGCATTTTATTTCAAGGGACTCGAGGTCGACATGGAGGCAGACGACAAATGAGTGTCTGGATTCTGGCCCGGAAGCAAGCAGCTTCTGTGAAGTAACAGCTAAAGTAGAAGTACAGCCCATTGGATCCACTAAATTTAGTGTCATCTGTTGCCCAAGGAGAGTATATATACTGAAATTATGCAGATTGATTGTCCAAGGAAAGGCATCACCTGAACATTAAAAAGAAAGAAAACAGTTACAGATAATATTTTTTTCCAAATTCAGTAAAGGCCTTATCCTAAATCCAAGGCACATACTGCCAGTGTCCATTAAATTACTCCCAAACTCTCAGAAATATCCTTCAACTATCAATTCCATTCTACACCTTGAAATCTAAAACACAGCATTTTTTTCAGTTCTTAAAAATTGGAATCCTCTGAGATTGCAAAACCACTGGGAATCCTTTGTGACCAAATGCCTCCGACAAGACTTGCCCGGGCTACAGGATGGCGACAAGGCCGTTGGTGGCTTATGTTGACAACCTAAGATGGAATGAAACAGGGAAAACTGCAGCCCTCTGGAGGACAGGGAGAGAAGGTAGAAAACATCTGACATGGCGGAGAGGGCCAAGCCCGACGTGTAAGGGCTACATGTAGAGATCAGGACATCAAGACAAAAAACAAATCACTACAGACCTACGCTGAGCATTTTATTTCCTGTATTTAGAAAAAAATAGCTACCCGGAAGCAGTGCCTGGAGGTCTTCCCTGAGCCATCATCAGGGCTGACCAGTGAGGCAACCAGCAGTGCCCAGCAGCATAACAAAATGGCTGCGGCTTCAGTAGAGGCTTTTTCCTTTGGATTGTCAATAGATGGGAAAAAATGGATAATTTGTCAAAGCAGGACATAAGCTAGAGAGAATGTTTTGGCTAAGTTTTTCGAAAGGTAACAGAAATTAACGTGAGAAAACCACAGACATCTTAGTCAGCTCCACCAGCCACCGGTGAAGGGAACTAGCTGTGCACAAGAGCAAACCACACACCTCAAGAATCCCACATCCCATTTTTGCCAAAGAGGCAATTTAGGTCTATAGAAGACTGCAAACCAAAACCCAAAGAATGCTCAAGAGCAGTGAGGAAAATGTGGTTGTGAATTCTCATTTCAAACAAACATAGACTTTTCAAATAGTTTTAAAATGCTTTGCAGATATACAGGAGTGTAACAATTATTTAAGATTTTTTTACCTCAAAACAATGTCTTAATTATTCTGTGTATCAGATTTTCTGCTGAGGAAGCCAGGCCTTTTGGTCCCATTTGGATGAAGGGGAGCCTGCAGCCAGCACAAGAACTTTGAGGCCATGGAAAAGCAGCCTAAAAGCTGTCCTGTTCCATGGAAAAGCAGCCTGGAAGCTGTCCCGTTCCATGGAAAAGCAACCTAGAAGTTGTCCCATCTCAGAGGAACATGAAAGTGGCCGCGCACAGTCTCGGATAGAAAGCCCGTAGCATGACAAGCATTCATGAAGTCCAGCCAGGGCCAAAATATTCTTCGTTTTTGTAGGAAGACATTTGTGAGAACAGTCATTTGGGAGAAGAGAAAGAGAGAGACTCCCTCTCCCATACCAAAACTCAAAGATTATTTGGTGTGAGGGTTTATTTTTCACAGCTTTGGGGCAGGAGCTGCATGTTGAAACCCCAAAAGCAGTGTGGAGTAATGGGACAGAAGATGGCAGGAAAATACCCGTGCATACTACAAGGGAGCCTAACAGAGCACTAAGGAACCAGAACTAATGTTTTTAAAAAAAATAAATGGAGGATCATGGTGTTTATTTGCTGCTTGGGGTAGCACACTGTCAGCAGGGTGTCCTGTGAAGAAATCACATCACTGAGAAATAGCACAAATTAACTGTTAACTGCAATTAACTCACAAAAAAAAAAAAAAAAAAAGCTTCTGAAATTTTAAAAAAGTAGGATCCAAACACTTTTTTATCATATTATTTTAGCAAAAGTTTTATTTTTTCTTACACAAGTGGCACTAGCAATAAGTGCATATTCAAGAGAATACATCAAAAAGCTTGTGCGTCTCACCCTAAGAAAGAGATGAAAAATTCTGTGGTTTATTTTGAAGCTATTATGGACTGAAGAACTCAGCTTGGCCAAAGTAACTTAAAATATTTTGGAAATGTTTCAGATTAGATATTTAAAAGCAGTTAGCAAACCATATTTTTTCCAAGTTCAACCGCCAAGAAATACAAAGTATTAATTGTAATATATGGAAAAAAATCAAATGCGAAGTCAACTCTAATGACATGTTTCTAATTACTACACATGATTTTCGCTTTTCTGTGTGATCACCACAGTAAATGAAGATTGGGTATATTTCAGGGATTAGAACAAATGTCCAGAGAGAACACTGAGTGCATGTATAGTTCAATGTATAGAAACCACAGAGGGCTGAACAGTGTAGTAAATACATCACAAATTTACAACTATAAAATCCCCCTTATTGTCACCATCAACCAGCTCCATGCACACTTACATGACCATTCAGTCACTATACTGGAACTGTCCATCTTATAAATAATTGTTTTGGGGTTGTAATTCTGATTGCTTTACATCAAAAAACAAACAAAAAATTACATACCTGCATTCATTTGTAGATTGGTTTTAGGAAACTACTTAATTCAAACTGGCTAAACATCAAAAGCAATACCATTTAAAGCATATTTACTTCAAACCTCATTTAGTAGCAGGTAGCAAGGAAAAAACAGCACCAAACTTGGCAGACATTTCCTTGCCATATCCAATGTTCCCATCCATGTATACTACTTTGTTTATTAATCTCTGAGCTTTTTTTAAGGTGAAGTATGAGTAAAACTAACATTGCATTCAGCAGAACCAGAACTCAGCCACTTCTTTCATAGGCAAGAATATGAAAGATACACATGAAATAAGGTTACTGATTCCAGTTAACTCCTGACTGACAGCTTTCATATATCCTTATTTTTAATTTCTTCTCAGCACTGATTTAAAAAAATGAAAATCTGTTAATTAAGATATATCAACTGTTTTATGACTTATTAAATATATAAAGGACATTTTCAAACATTTGACAGTTGACAGACTCCATCACCAGACAATTCTCAAAGAACTGGCATTACAGCAGGTTTCGAATATTTGTTATAGTTTGCCAAGATGAATTTTCTACAGTGTATTTGAGTTATTTTTGCTATATCTGTAATTAAAAGCTTTTGCTTTTTTCTCTGGCAGTTACCTGATTTACTGTAACATAGTGATGATTTTCTTTCTTTTTTAGTGTGAGCCTTTCCAGATTTTATGAGACAAGATAGTGATAAATGTGTTTAGATAGCAATAATTTTATTATACCTTTGCTCTCACTTTTATATGACACTTCTACTTTAAAAACCACACTGCACAAGTGGCAGTCATACAAACGTTGTATAAAATGTTGGCAGTTCTGCAAACTATGAATTTTATTTGTTTAAAATTAGTGAGAGCAGGGGAAAAACCACGAAAGCTTTATCGTGTGAATGATCTGGGATCTATTCCCATTTCTGCTAAATGTACCCTATGTAATCTTCAAAAAGCATCTCGATTACTTTGTCTTCATTGCCCTTTCTGCACCTACACCGCAGGGTCCTTACGTGGAATTTCCAATTCCCCACATTCTCACGTGATATGCAGTAATTTAAGGAGAAAGCTATTGTAGTAACGACTCCTTAGGTCAGTGCTGTGCTTCGGGGAGCCGTCGCACGGCTGCGTGTCCCGCGTGCAGGGAGGGCCCCGACGAGCGCGGGGCTGCTCTGGCCAGGCAGTTGCACAGAGCTCAGCTGCACGCGCAGGCACCGAGGCTCTGCTCGCTGGAGCGCAGCTAGTGCAGGAGCTCAGCCTCAGCAAGGGGTTTAAAGCAGAGTCCTCACTGCTTTTCAGATATTGAAGACTATCATTAAAATGGGAGAGCTAATTTTATAAAGTCATTACATGTACTAAATAAAATACAATAATTACTGTGTTTTACAGAAGATGACATTGAATAAATACTGAAAAAGCAATGTCAAAGGTTCCTATCAAAACTTGCCAATTGCCTTAATTTTCCTTTTCAGTTACACATTATTTTTCCTTTATCATACTGAAGTACTTTTACTTTAATCTAACGAAAGATAAAAACTTCTAAGAAATCAATGCTCTGCTTTAACCATGAACTAAGTTCCTGCTTTAACTTGCAGATATTTTTGCAAATATATTTTATTACTTTATGTCTAATACATTTCATTGAAATAGCCTGTACTAGGGACCCTAATTTTCTATTTCCTCAGAAGTCACTTGACAATTTCTTAAGTTTAAACCTAAGCTACAAAACTTCTGCAAGAGTAAATGATTTATTGTATTTCACAAACAAGAGAAAGTGTACCAAACGGTAACTAGTATAAAAACAAAAGTGGAACTCAGAAAGAGGATCTAAATTAAAATTATTAAAAATGCAAAATAAAAGAAGAGTTTCTATTTAATTTCTTCAATATGTTCTGCCTCATTGGTAGTAACTGGATCTGAAATTTTCTCATGTGATTGATCTGGCTTATCAAGAAAATGGATTCTAATAATTTGTTACAAATTTATTCAGTGGTATTTGTTATTCAACAGAGGTTCAACAGAATACCTCATTCTTTACAGACATAAACCTATTTCTATTCATAAGCTACGTAGTGTGATTGTGCTGAATTATGTTTCTGAATAGAAGTACTGTACTTAAAATGCTCTTTTTAGTGTTTCCGAAAAGAAATATAACAGAGCTCTCAAAACAAATGGAAAGACTTGACTGTGGGATAGCATATAAGCTATTTTTACAGTATGTTGACATCTTAAGGTCAATAAGGCTTTGTGAGAAGGCTGCAATATCCCCAAATGACAGTATGAATATGCTTCTTGTCATCATACTCTCCTTTATTTTTTCAAGTAATAGTAAAAATATATGAATAATCATACAGCTTTCTTAAAAGTAAGCATGTGTCCTTTTGCTCAGATTTTTGTTTTTAATAAAAAAAAATAATGATCCAAAAATATTTTTCAGAAAAAGCAGGCTTAGCTAAATAACATATCACAGAGAAGGTAACATGTTTGAGGAATGATGTTATGTCCCTGAAGTCTTGCTCAAACACAGAATGCAAATTAGAGACTCTCACGATAAAAATGCATTAAAATTATTCACCTCTACATGGGAGGAAAGAAAGAAGGTGACTTAAAAGCTACGAAAAAACTTTCTTAATGGTTTGTTTCAGGGAGAGTTTTGGGATGAGGGAAGGCAATGGTTCCATTGGAGAAGCAAAAATATGAAGATTGTGAGAACTTCTGTTTGGCATCATTCCCAGAGCATAAAGCCACACACAAATAGGTTCCTTACAATGCGCTTTATCCCAAACAGAGTGATTCTTTGCTCTCACTAGGATCTTTCCTTCAAATCTGGGTTTGACAAAATTCAAACGACTTTTTACTTTCATAAATAGCTTAAGCTGCAACCTAAGTTTTAAACAAACAAAAGATGATTTTGGTTAAGTAATTTACCTTTCACCTGTCCCTATGATTAGTAAATTAGATAACTCCCACTAGAATTAATTAGGGAAAACACCTGTATATTTTTTTTTCAGTTGTTGGCATTTAACACATTCCTAATAAGATGTTCAGTGTTTAAAACTATAATTTTGTTTCTGTTGCTGGGGCTTGAAGTAAAAGGCAGGAAGGAAGAGTGCAGTAAATTGCAGCACAAAAGGAGGTAGAAAATTCTGCTATAAACCCATAAACATTTGAGATGGAAGGAACAAGAGTAGCTTTTAAAAATGCTTCTGACTACTTTTTCATAAAACATTGTCTATAACTGGTTACATTTCAACCATATATAGGTATAAAATAATTTTGCTACATAATGCTGTCACCAAAGCCCCATAATTGTGCATTTATCCTTCTTCATCTTAGTACAAACATACAAAACAGCAACAAATCTTTCTGAATTATATTTTTCAAGAACGCAATATGAAATAACTGTATACTGACATTTTCATGAAATTTTAAACTGGGTTATGATGCAAAAATCAACATTTAAGATTTTTAGGGATAGGGATTATTGCCTTACCCATTTTCAACAAACATTTTTTTATATGAATACCAACAGAACAAGACTTTTGCAGCAGCAAACCAGTGCTGCAAAAGCATTTCCCCAGCCTGTTACTTTGATGACTTCACATCTTCCAACAACTCTGTTTTTTTCTGCATCTTAAACATAAGCAGCTTGTTTCCACTTGCGAGGGCCTTTCTCAGTTTACCCCTTCCTTTCAGATCATTTCTCAAGCAGTAGCAGAATGTTAAAAGTTCATCCTTCCCTCAGACGAGTCCACAAGTCAAACCTCTATATATTACCTTTTCCAGTAGGCAGCAGCACACTTTTTCTTATCTTTGTCCTTTCATGAGACACCCCCTCCATAGTGTAAAATGTTCTCTTTATTTTTTCTCCAAATCTCTATAATAACCTTGATAAAACGCCTACTAAAAACAAACACAACACATGACTGTTGCTTATCACGAATACTAACGGAGCCTTACTGTTTTTGGGGGGGATAGTCTGCTCTAGATATGAATTTCTTTCCCTGTCTTGCATTTAATGGTACCTCCAAAGTCACACCTCTTTTTGATGGAAAAGTTCCCGCAGTTCCCAACTCAGTGGCCCTTCCTGCGGCATCATCCCAACTTGGCTACACAACAACTTGAATGACAAAACCAATCTGGGCAAGTAACGTACTTCTGATTTTTTTTGGCATCACCAAAGAAAGAAAGCCTATCACAGAAGTTCTGCTGGCTGCTTGATGAGTTGCACTTTGATCTCTCTGGGCAAAGACTGGGATTCCTAGCCCTCAACAGGCGATAATAATGACTAAAACTGCTAGCAAAGTAAAACAACAGCAAATCCCCAGTGGTTCTAGATGGAAACTAAAGAGCAAAGCTTTTCAAATTCATCATACTCTACCTTCTTCAAGAATGGGTCTTAGCACAACGAACGGGATTTCTTGCAGCGGTTCCATATGTTTGTGTCCCGCACTCATAACCTTTATCTGGGGCAAGCAGACGACGAGCGTGCCAGGCATGCAGGCCTGCCCATGGAACCAGCTCCGGACGGTCCCGGGAATGTCGCCGGACACAATAGTGCTTGGCGAAGGCAGGCTGTCGTTGGGAATGAAAACACAGCACGATTGCACTTCAAGCTGTAAAACAAGGCCAAAAAACAGATTACCCGTTTATATCTAACAGGACATATTCAGGTTGGTGTCCAATCTCAAATTGCACATCCACCATAGTTAATATGAAATGGTCACAATTTTTCCACAAATTAAAAGGAAAGATGATGCCAAATGTTCAAAATATTTATATTCTGGTAAATTATAATTATGGGAAGGAAGGGAGAAAAAGTGTCATTTGGGTCTGTAAATCTGATCAGAAACGTGTTGCAATGTAAACTGAACATATACCTACCCTTCAACAGCTTTTAACAGGAAACATGATTGAGCTGGAAAATGTTCTCACAAAAAAGGTGAGAAAATCCTCCTCTTTTTGCAGGTCATTAGCTTTTGTTAGCATTAGCAAGGGCTCCAGAGCTAACCATTTTATATGCTGTTACTTTATAGACAGACTTATTTCAAGGAGACTTATGACTTTACATTGTAGTCAGAAGTAATGAACAGGTACAAAAAGTTTAATTAGCATATAATCTAGGAAGAATAAATGCTGAAGTGGAAAACTGACTTCCATTAAAACAAGCAGATAGATATACAGATGCATCCTCCTCCCAAACACACACAGCAGAAAGAGAAATGAATAAAGCTCATGCAGTTTATAGAGTTTTGTCCTGTTGCCACTGCAAACCAGAAGTAACACATGCAATTTCAAGTTGAAACATCACTTTTTTTGTTCTTTATTTTCAAACTCTGCTGTTACCCTGGAACATTTCTGACAATTTTGCCATCTCCTTTGGGACTTCTAGCAAGGCTGAGCAAGCCCAAAGCAAGCACTGAACTCATCATGACTTGTTAATTCAGGGGCAGTGCAAGCCTGTTAGTCCTCCTTGGCTCTTGCAAGTAATACTCTGCACCTGGATATCAAATAGCCCTACGAGCCTGCACACTTGAATGCTTTGTTAAGCAATTACAAACTATGATTCAGTCCCTTTCTTCACAACAGTTTGGAACAGTCTAGTGTCCAAACTATCGGACACAAGATGTTATTTGTAGTTTTGATAAAAGAACACTTGTTTGCTCTAAACTTCTGTAACAGAGACTATCAATTTGATATTATTAAAGAAATCATAGCTTAAAACTGATAATCAAGGTTTGTGCATGATACCCTCCCCTGAAGGCTAATAATTTCCCAAGAGAGCAATAGTAATGTGTAATAGCACTGGAATTCCTCAGCATCATAAATGCTTTGCCAGCCTGCTGAAGAGAACACAGATATTCATCTTTATTTCGGTATTTTGTGCCCTTTTGCTTAGACAAACTGACAAGAAATCATCGCAGAAAAATATAAGTAGAATTTTGCAAAAATAAATACATTGTTATATGAAGTCTGTGTTTGTTTCTAGGTTTAGAATTGTTTGAATTGCAAAATGAAGTTAATTACATCTTTGATAAGTAGTTTATTGATCCAAGGTCACGGAGTGTACTTTATTTATACTGGATGAAAAGCAACAGAGTATTGTTACAGATGTAATTCATTTGGCTTAACCCAAAAAAAAAAAAAGGTAAATTAGTCATTGTGTCAATTTGCAAAGATTTCTACAGTGACACATTCGATCATTTTCTGGTCTATTAACAATAGGTTGCAGGTCAAACCATTGCAGGATAATGATAGATAGTTAATAAAAGAACCTCTGATCAGCAGAACTTTGGTTTTATCAATGCACTTACTGAATAAACAATTTATAACAATCATTCACTCCAACTACACATATATCTCCATGATGATTAACATCAATGCTGCCTCCACACACAAACCATGTGGTAATAATAATCCCTAAATACCACCAATTCTGGTAGGTACAAGACATTATCACATTACCAGCAGCAGGATCTACAGGAGATGTTTTACAAAGTACTCTTGAGAAGAGATCTTAATACTGAGTAGAGTTTTAACATTTAATTTATAGTGGAGTAAAAGTAGCTTCATACTGAAGGGGAGTTCACTGTTTTTCACTTGACTTTACCATATCAAGAAGACTGAACGAGGATCACAACAGTTTCACTCCCGCGAATGCCTCAGGGGGATTTCTGTTCACATATGTAGATATTTTGTCTTTCGTTTTACAAATTGAACAGGAGTTGGCCCTTGGATTTTGATGGGGTTATTTACATGATAGCATCTGGCTCCTAACACATAATATTACGTATTCACTTACAGAGAGGTTTCTGTATTTGTGTTCCATTTTTTATATGAAAAATATTGTGTTCCAGTTTTATATGAATAAATGAAATTTGCAGTACACAATGACTGCCGGATTTCAAAGGCCAACAAAATGAACCTAAGTAAAAAATTCACATTTCAGTGAAAATCATGTAATAATTGTAATGCTATAGGAAATTGCCAACTTGGATGCTCAGGGCCAGATAAAGTGCATATTCAAGCATTTGAGTCACGCCGGCTGAACTTCTCAAAGTCAGGTTCTGCTTACACAAAACTATCAACTTCAGTGGGATTTGTGGGTATTTATCTGACAGAATCCAGAGATCTGTCTAAAAACAAGTTCCGGGGCAGGAATGGAAGAGTGCACCTATGGTGATGGAATTATATGTTGGACAAAAAGTTAGAACGTGAGTTACAGATTGCTTCACCAATCGGAAAAGTGCTTTAAAATATATGTAATTCAAATATCTTAAAATTAAACTACATCAATAGCATATATTAAAGCTATCATATAAATCTTTTTACACTTTTTAAATAACTGTTAAACTGTGTGTCTAAAATTGTGAATTTAATGTAAAATGTGACTGATTTATGTAACTGAATATAAATCTGCAGCAGTAAATCTTGTATTAATGTAAGGATCTGACAATCCAAGGGAAAGAAAATGAAGTAATCTGCCAGTAAGAAGTCCTCAAGCTGGGGGTCAGATCCTGTTCATGGAAACCATCTGGTTGGGACCCTCCAAGCCACACCAAACACAAATGATCTTTTAAAAAAATATCCTATTCATTAATGCTTCGCAGCTGCACTGAGTGTTACTTCATTTTTCCATGGCAACATCCTTTCTGTTTCAAGGATCTTATTTCAGTTTTGGTAGCAACGTGTTCTTTTGCCAATACTGAACACATTCATGTGTTAAAGAGAAGGAATTATTACAAATTCTTGAAACAGAATCACCCCCTATTTTCATTTCTATTATGTCAAGGCCTACACATGCAAAGTAACATATACTAATGATAAACCAATGAAGTAAGCAGTATTTTCCCTTGTACTTCTAAAAAAATTAAGCAAAGCAAAGCACAGTGTTCTGAGCTTTTACTAACTTAGAGACCTGAAAAGCTGCAATGACTTTAAGATCTCAGCTGTCTTTAAAGGAAAGTATGAAGTTTCTGGAATAAATGGAGTATTTTGGGGGACATATTTTATAAAAAAAAAGGGGGGGGAATATAAAGATCTACAAAGGTAGCTGTGAAATACAGTTACACAATATACTGCATAACACCAAGTCTCCATAGCATGGGGAGAGGGCAGGAGTGAGAGAGAAACCAAACAAATGCCACAGCTGCTCTGCCCCGCTGCAGCAAAGAGGGAGAGCCGCAAAACCTTCACCCCCCTGATGCCCTTTTTCAGGGATATAAAGGAATTCCAGGTGTTGATCACCCACTGGGTGACACTCGTGTGAAGGTGTCTCCTGGGAAAAGGCCTCCACCTCCACTCCTGTCACAGTCTCCTGTCATACAGGCTGCCGTGGTTTGGGGAATATAAAATATATTCTATATTCTATGCAGAATACAGAATATAACCTCGCAGTGATTCCCAGGGGAGCAGAGACCAACCGTCACCCACCCCACGTCAGGGTTATGGTGTGATCATTGCTGTAAGACTCTGCCTCGGCCTCCTACACCCAAATCAGCTGCATCCTCTGTATTTAAGCCTGGCATGTCCTGCTTGTTAGAAATTAGGAAAACAGGCCTGAAATTTGTATTTCAAAGTTAGATCAAAAGAGAAAAAAAGATATAAGTGAAAAGTAGTGCATGTTAACAGGAGAATTACAAGGCTAGGCCTTGTAATGCACATACAGGAACAATGCAAAACAGAGTACAATAAGCATAATGAGTATAATGAACAATTCTTTTTCTTTTCCAACTGCTTAAAACAGTAACTTAGCACTCCAAGGGACTCCTGCTTTTTCTAAGCAAGCTTGATTTTAAAAAGTATTTTGGTTTAATTACGGGATACTTTAACTTTTGCCAGTTTGTGATAAATAATCATCTTAAGACATCATCCTATCTCAAAACTGCTGAATATTACTGTTAAGTTACAAGTCACAGAGTAACTGATCTACTCAAAGAATAAGAACACTAGGCAATTTCACCATTGTATTTCTGTACTTTCAATCAATGTTTCATTTTAACTATAACTTTGTACAAGTTACATGCTTCAAGGAAAATATCATTTTCAATAATTTCAGGAAACAGACTCATTTTCTGAAATAATTTCAGGGATATTTAAAGCATGTGGAATATCTGGCTACATTTTGTGTGTAATAATTAACACAGTTAGTTGGCATTCCCTGCAACATTACTTAATCATTCATTTGCTTTTAATACAGATCCTTCATTATTCTCACTGGAATTCAGCATTAACAACCAATTAAAAATAACTGTGTTTACCCTACTTCACAATTTTAGCAACTATTAGTATGAAGAACACGTGAAAAGTGAGTATTACCCTCCTGCACAGGATAACTGCCAAGAAGACTTCAAGGCTGCATATAAAATCCTACAACAACTAAATAATAAAAACAACTTTTTATAGTTAAGCATGAAAGTCTTCTCACTAAAATACTAATAGCTTAGCACAACTCCAAAGCTCAAAATCTTCATGCAATATTCTATCATGAGCAAGAGAGGGCCAGGGCTAAGCAAGTACCAGCTTTGGCTCCAAAATAAACTTTCCAGCTACTTTGGTTCCAAAGACATTTACTTACTCAAGCTTCCACTAAAAGAATAATCCTTTGATGATTTTAAGTTATGAAGTTCTGGTTTATCTGACGACAACTGCAGACTTCTCTGTTCTACAATCATGTTAATAAAAGATCCAGAAACATGAAAATAGCTTTAGAAAAAAAAAAAAAAACTTGCAGTCTAATGTTCCACTATTTAACCAGAAAACAATATTTTAGCAATTTGGCTTTTTCATGCTGAGAGAAAATCTAATTATATGGTGTGTTTTATTAAAGGTATAATTATATTATACTATACTCGAATTAAAAAGGGCCATTACCCTCAATTTCTTATCATACACACACACTGCTTTGCACAAAATTTCATCTTTGCCATTCAGGCTGATATTGGAGGAGAAAAGACCTATATATATTTACATTTTATGTGTTGAAAAATATATTTAAATAGAATAGGCACAGGGACTGCTAACAATAAAAAGAACAGTAAGCACAACTACAAGTCGTTCATATTTCACTCAGAAGGGCTACTGCATCTTTGTTCAGAAACACTTCCTTGGATATTTCCTGTGGTACTTCCCTGGAGTCTCCTGCAACGTTTTACTGGTAACATGGAGTGCCTCTTTCTGGCAAGATATTGGCATTCACTTCAAGTACGATCAAAGCATAAGGATGAAACACATCAGAATAAGTTTGTAAGCTGCTGTGTGGTTTCATAGGGCCATTTAATTTCAATGTAGATAAAAATAAAAAATATAATTTCATATTCATAATGCCAAAAATTGAAAACATCTGAGTATGTTATAAATGTTTTTCTTTTTTAAACAAAGTAAATAAATCTAGAACTTTAAAAAAAAAGACAAGAAAAGGTATCTAATACATACATATATATAAACTCTACAACCCATAGTTCTAATCCCTGAATATATTATGTTAGATCATGGGAATATTCACAAATTACTCTTTGAGAAAGCATGAGTCTAAGTCTATCAGTGCAGTGAATTTTCATCTTCATCAAAAAATAGCAATTCAATCACATTTTTTTTTTGAAAAAATGCAAACTTCATTTTTCACCAGTCAGCATTTTACTCTTAATTCAAAACAAATTCCACTTTCCTAGTGATTGTTCATGTAACAGAGCTTACTATTAAAAATGTATGAGCAGAAGAGACAGTATCTCAATCCCAACTCTATCTTCCCCATTTATAAAGGATCCATTTCTTTATTATCACAATTTTATTATTATTATTATTATTATCATCATCTAAGATGGCATCTTTGGCGTATGGTATGTATGGTATTATGTTATATATATATATATATGCATATATATTGCTAATCTGCTTCTACTTGATCACAGATTAGAATTAAGAGCAGTGTAGGATAAAACAGATGAGTCTCATTGGTTCTTTATAAGAAGGTAGACAAGACTCACCACTCTACAACATCACACTGTATCATACAGCCCAAGAAAGCATCTGTACTTTCCTTAAATAATCTTAGAAAGGTCACTATTCTGTAATTTTAATTGCAGATGAGAAAGCAGCTATATTTAGAATTCAAAAGAGTATGAAAGCATCTTTTTCTTCCTACTTCCCCTTAGTAACAAAAATACATTTTTGAGCACTAATGTTTTAAAGTCAAAAGGTTTTTTTGCTTAATTTACCAGCAACCTATATTTTAATTTTCATTCTCTACTGTGTTGAAACTAGTAAAATACGGCAATAAAATGAGGGAACTCCTTTAAAAATCCTCCATAAAAAGAACTAGGATGCATAAAAAGTATTATAAAGTTGGGAAAGACAGTTTTTCTCACTCCCTTTTCATCTTACCTGAAGTGTAAGGCGCTTAACTGCATTCCATACTATTCCAATAAATTCCTTCATTCTTTCTTCAGGACTTCTGCAGCTTTCAGATGAGTTCAGCATGGTTTTCACGGGGAGTGACAAAGGCCGAGATTCTAAAACAAGCAGCAAAATTCAGTTATACAAAGTATATCTGAAGAATGTCACAAAGAAAAAGACTACTTATTTAAAATTCTAGCATGGTTTTTCTCTCACTATATACCAGTGATAATACAGAAACTTCAGTGGCTATTTATTAGTTTCCAACTTGGCAATACAACTGCACCAGCTAAGCATGGTGAGAAATGCAGTGTTTCAAAAACATTATAGGTATGCTAGAATTCTCTTAATGTAAATTGCAAAGAAAATATTATGAGGAGTGTTTGACCCAAGCAATTAAGTCAGTTTTCAAAGTGTGATAACCTATTTGGTGATGGAATAGCAATACAAGAGGTTTTCACATACATTGCTGCCAGGGTAATCTAAACAAAGTTTTCATTTTGTAAACTTGTTGCAAGAAATGTGAAAGAGCTCATATTAAATTACAGCCTTTGATTTGTTTATTTTAAAAATTCACTTAACAGATCTTTGAGCATGCATCCAAAGGTCTAAAAATTAAATTGTTTTCTCGAAAGAAAACACATGGAACAAATAGTAATTGCAAGTTCTTTAAACAATGCATGAATTGTCCACACATCCCCTGTCCGCTCTTACAGAGCATCTTCCCATGTTTTGGGATACACAGTAAGTTATTTTCAGCTTCTTTGACATTTACAAGTTTGGCCTAGATATTGTTGAGTTGACAAAATTGCAGGAAAAAATCATGAAGCCTTCATGACATCACTTAAATTAAAATCAACCTAAAAGTTACAGGTTTTGTTTAAAAATTATAATGCCCAGAGAAATCTTGATACAAATTCTGGATCTGCATACAAACTACAGAAAGATTCTTAATGTTGTTACCAAGTGAGCTCAGGTGAGTGAATTCTATGCCCCTCTATGCATCATTTAATCTTCAGTCAGTATTAATCAAGGAAACACAGAGAAGAATGTAACTTAGGAGGTGAATTTCTGCCAAATGTGTGCAATGTTCATGACACCTGAGGAATTAAATTGTGATGTTGTGATATTTATTTGCCACAAACAACATACAAGATCATGGTTGATTAATATTTTAGACAAAATCCTTCAACAACACTCTAAGATTTTAAATGGCCTGAGAAGCATTAATTTCATTCAACCAATGAGTAAATTCAGAGAGAAAGAGATTTCCTACTCAAAAGAGTAGGACTTTTATGGTTGCACTATAATTAGCCTTTTCAGGGTTCCAATTATGGACCTAGGATGGACGTGGGGCCATGAGAATGTAGGAAGCACAACATTTCAGGACTGTGCTTTGTTAGTTGAGCTGAAAAACAAACCAAAGCAAAATTTTGCCCATGTGGAGAAGCAGTGTGGAATGGCCCTTTCACAGTATTTTCTCATCTGAACGCTTTTATGTCAGGTGATTCAGTCCTTATACAAACAGACCGAACTACCACAAAGTTAGTTAGTGACGTAGAGTTTGAGGAAGAGTTGTTTTGCTCTAACTTCACATCCTACCTCAGTTCACACTAGCCTCTATGTGTTAACAGGCCCTCCACTATATGCAATACATGGGAAGAATTAGAAACAGCCTGAGAACTAAGGAAGATTAAAACGAGAGAGTTAATAGCACATACAGTTCAAAGTGCAGTATTAGCACAATATATCAAGTCACCGTGAGATTTTGGACTTTGCAAGAGGCACTTTTTAGCAATTCAAAGGGTAACAGGGAGCTACCCATGTTTTGCCAGTTAAAAACACACACTCTTAGCTGACCAAAATTAGCCAGCCATAATCCCACTTCTTTCAGTACTTGTGCCACTCAAACCTCAAGAACTACTTCAAAGTCATGGAACACCAGACAACAGGTTACTTCATACCTCACACTCAACCAAAAGATCAAAAAACAGAAAGCGAGAAAGAAGGGGAAAAAAAGAAAGAAAAAATGACATGGAGCAAAACTGGTTGCAAGGCAAAAAGAAAAAAAAATCCTGAAAAATAAAACAGAAAGAAGACTTCTGCTTCTGATCCTTTATTTATTTATTTTTGTATTTTTTCCCTTCTGCCTGAAGGATGGGATGTTGGAACAAAACAGTGTCCTAGCTCCCCACCAGGCAAGAGCATTGGTAGACGATAGCTCCGAAGGAACCGCAGCAGCCCAGTGTGGCTGCCCTGCACGTCTGCCTGGTCCTCTGCAGGAGACACGTAGACTGGATCAGCTCCATCTGTCTCAACAAGAAGGTTAATCTCCTAAAATAATTATGTTATTCAGCTACTACTGAACTGAAAATCTAGCAACATTTCCTGGCTGTGCAATCAGGCTTGTGTTGAAGCCAGGAGCCAGTCAGCATTAGCTAGATAGAAAATACGATTTGTCTGAAACATTTACAAACTGATGAGGGGAAAAAAAAAAAAGAGAGAGAGAGACTGCTTCAGCTTGTAGATAGCTGACTTTTCAGGAAAACACATAGGAAAACAAAATGTATTCTCATCTTCTAGTCCATGTTGTGTAACTGACGTTTTGGTAAAAACATACATTGCTTCTCTCTCAAAGCAATCTGTTATAGGTTGGCAGTTACCATCAACTTCAGAACACACACTGGTAATGAAAAAGCTTCCAAAAAAGGGCTGATCATAACCTATAAGGATTGAGCTACCAGAAGCAGCAGTTTTCATAATTTATTTTACAATTTATGGTTTAAGTACAGAGGCAGTTCCAAGTGGCAATCCTGTGAAATTAATCATAAAAGTCCTCTCTTTGTAGGAGATGCCAGTAAGCAAGACTTATAGGCATAAATCCTAGACAGAGGTGTTTTTCTTATACAGTTCTATTCCTCTTTCTTTGTGGTTTTTAGTCTACTGGGAAATGGCTGCTCTAGACTATTCCTCTTTCTTTGTGGTTTTTAGTGGGAAATGGCTGCTCTAGGAATCTGATCTATAAGATACTCACAAGTATTCACAAAACGGAAAAGATGTCTGAAAAAAAGTAGCTCTTTTGTGCTACTAATTAATATTCAGTGACCCAAGAAACACAAAACAAATTCTTTAGGAGTGATTTGTGGTAAAAGGCCATTTCTGAAATCGATAAAAGGTGAGAAGAGATCTTCCACTATTGAGCTGAGGACCACTGAGGACCAAATTTGTCCTCACTATCACCAATTTGTCCCCACAAATCACCAGATCACCACTAACTGCCTTGGCACATACTTTAGGATCCTCCTCCCTTACAGCTGGCAACTGAACTAAAGGCAGGTAAAACACAGTGAGAATACACTGTGTCTAATTTTATGTGGTGTGGACGTCTCAAGTCTCACCCTTCTGCCACCAGCCTCCTCTCTCCGTCCTCTGTGGAGCCGCAGGCACCTCACGCGTGAGGCGGGCAGCAGCTCAGACCCGAGGCCGCCATGACACCACCTCCACGGAGAAGGTTACTGTGCTGCAGAAAACCCTCCGTGCTCCCCGAGCTCCTTCCTCCTGGAAGACCGAGTCCCCAGTCCCTCTCATGAGCCTACCCAGAACGTACCCGCCCTGCGCCCAGAGTGCGCCGGGCACGTCCTCCTTCCCACATCCCATCCATCGCCTGCCGTGGGGCTCGCGCCGCGCTCTCCAGCGGAGCTGCGGAAAACGCTGCTGCAAACTCCTCACAGATACTCAGAGGGCATGACAGCAAAACCGTGAATGGCAACAATATGTAGAATAAGAAAGAAACCAAAGCAAAGCACACTGCTATCGCTTGGCTATTCCTGGATTTTTTTTTTCCTCTAGTAAAACTTGAGATAATCCCTACAAGGTTATAGAACTTGTTAGGGTTTCTTAATATACACTCTTTTTATGCACGAGGTATGTCTTTTTACCAGAAATAAAAACAAAAATACCAAGCCGTTTGCTACAAGTGCAAGCCATTGAGGAACTGATTAAGGGGTCTTAGGGATTAGAAATGAGATTAAAAAGCACTGAAGGAGAAAATTCAAACTTCAAACAACTTTGAAAAAAAGATGAAAAACTAAATGGGCTACAGGTTTTTTGTAGAAGATTAATTGTTAAAAAAAAAGAATCTACTTAAAACTTACTTGCCGCCCTTTTCTATAAGCCATCAGTTTCAGGTTTCTACATATAATATTGGGCAAAAGCAAAATTTCACTGAGACCTGCTAAATAAAAACTTGTTTATTCTTTGGTTCATACTGTGGCTTCCCACATCGATTTTCAAACTTTTTGTATTTACAGTGCATCAGAACAAAACATAGATGTGTGTATATATTTATAAACATACACAGATATGAAAGCATTATAAATAATTCACATTTTTATATGTAAGATGGCCAAAAAAACCCCAAATTCTGTTCTCAATACAATGTATTTCTAATGAGTCTACTCTATTTTTTTCCACGATTTAATTTTAGTAAAGTATATATATACAAGAAATTGCAAAATCACAGGGGAATATCTTGCTGAAAAAGCTTCCCATCTTAACTTACTAATTTTTCCTATAGTCATTATTTCAGAATAAAAGTTCATCCAAGAACTGGCTCACTGCAACCATTAGGTGAGGCTCACATCTTTATTTAGTTATATTTTCTGAATCATTAATATCAAATATCAGTACTGTTGCAGAAGTATTCACATTTTATTTTTGCATTATCACACAAGAAGCTACTCTGTATACTCTCTTGCTGGATGTCTGAGATTTGATTTATTCATACATCTGAGATTTATTTGAGGAAAGACAGTGATGATCTGTGTGCGTAAAAAGGTTGATCTGCATTTTTCTTCATCAGGATGCTTGAGGAGAAAAGAAAACAGCAAGGATAACTTATTACATTTTTCAGTGAAGATCATAGTATTTGAGCCACATGATCCCCAACAACTAGCCAAAGCAAGTGCTTCTATTCACAGAAAGGAGAGCAGAGGTGTAGTGGCTCAATTAGAGAGGTCATTCACTGAGTTAGCAGAAGAATAAGTGTTAAAATACAGAAGCTTTTGACTTTTAACCTGATATGCCTTTCTCTAGAGTAAATGTATGTCAGTATATG